GGCATCTTCAGCGTTTTAGAAGTGATTAGCTTCATGGTGCGCACCCATCCCGGGATCCATCTGACGGCACTGTATGTCGTCGACGTGAGAAACTTGCTCGCGGAACTCGGCCATTTTCTAACTGAACCTGCAGAGCCCGAGAGCTGTGAAGTGCATGATCTCGACGACTTAGCCGATGGAATGCCGCTTTTTAACTCAGGTCATCTGAACCATTTCATCGCATCGTGCCGCGGTCTGGCGTGCGATGCCGTTCATCTGGTCCGATGCAAGATGTGCCTGCAATACGACATGCAGGACCATTTCGGCGAGGTCATTCAGTTTGAAGTCGATATGCCGATGACCCGAATGGTTGTTAACGGAGATGTGGCATCCTCGGTGTGGGATGCGTTGGAGACGGCGCTGCCGGCGCACAGCGACGACGAGGTGCGGGCTCTGTCGAACATGTTAACTGCGATTACGGCGGACAACAGCCAATGGTTTCCAAGCATGGCGGTCGGCAAGGTAAGGACTAAGGTTGAATGAATGTGGAATGGCATCCAGTCCTGGGCTCAAGCTTAGAGTTAGCGCATATCCACGGATTACTTATACGTTCATGTATGTTGTAACGGTTAGCGTTGTTAATTCTAAATTGAAGTCCCTCGTATAAATATTTACCTATTTATATCTTACAATCGAGCAGTGACAAACGAGCACCAACACAATGAAGTTTTATGATGGAACAGACGTAACTGCTTCACAGTTTACATGGTCACCACAATTTGTCCAACTAAGTTTTGCACTTAAATTTTCTATCAGAGTTAGTACTTGATTTCGCGCCTAAAAACAAAAACCATACTTAAAAACAAGAAATACAAGTAACGGCGATCATCGATTCATCGTGTTAATTCATTTTCGTCCTTGCTTATAGGTGTTGTGCACGGTGCAGACCGCGGATCCGCGTCCGTCCTCGGCTTACCGCGGGAAGAGATGGTGCAGGGATGGAGTGCAGGATCTGCGCTGGGAGAAGCTGTCCCGCATTACTCTGTGCTTCCTTCTCAAACTGTCCGATTTTCTGCGTGGCTACCTTGATGAATCTCCGGCGTCATCGGACTCGGAATAACTAGCGGCGGTTTTCATCCAACGTCCCTCTCCTGTTGCTGTTGTAATTCATTGTTATCGCTTCTGTAGCGACTTTAGTTTGTTAGCTTGTTTATTTGATTGGATTGTGAGCGTTCTCGATTGGCGGATGTCTTGTGTTTGCTTCAGCAGAGCGTCTGCTCTACATGAGATTCTGTTGTTTTGTAATGGTGCCGGAGAGGCGGGATGTCCACGCTACACAATGATTTCTTCAGTTTCGAGTTCAAGTTGCCACGGCGATGTTGTGAATCCAAATGATCCAATAAAATTCAGTTGGTCGCGTCGCATCACTGCAATCGTAGAACATCATGCAAAATGGATGTAGATATTGCCTATTTAACTTGTCCTACCTTCAACGGAAGTCGTCTGTAATGAATGTTGACGTTCTGCCAGCGACTGCTGGATCGGCTGCATTAATTTTGCATGACGCGTATTATTTTCTTCATCCCGCGCGCTTGCCGGCTTTACCGGCGCAGTTACAGAGAATACTTGAGTTGTTGTACTTTATGCATTGGTGGTACATATGTCTAATCTCTGCTCATCTATCTGATCAGGTGCAATTATGTACCACCCGTGCATAGGGGCTTTATTCGGGAATTTTTGTTTCAATTGGTAAGGTTGGCCTGCTAACGCCGCCTACTCTACCACTGTTCGTAACTATTGGGAAGTTTCCTTGTCTGTGCATTTCATGCGTTTTTATCAGCTGCCGTGGCTACTCGTACAGAAAGCTTTTTCGTTTTAGTGGGTTGATTCAAAGGTTTTGTGACAATATCATCAATAGCGCTAAAATTTCAGGGTTTTTTGTCACAAAGTTACTCCGGCACTCATCAGGTGCCGTGCGACGCTTTGAAACTCGCATTTTATACTTTGCTTGAGCGCGGGATGTGCAGATTTGTTTGAATCATAAGGTGAGACTATTCACTTGTGTCAGTTACGTGGGAAAACTAATAATGTTGAAGTCCAGCATGCTCGCTAAAATCATTGGTCTTCTCCACTTTCTATTGAAAGTGTCTACATGGCATACCCCCTGTGTCTACAGTACATGGATGGTGTCTGCATGGACTGAAGTGTCAGTTACCATTACTGGGAAAAATTATGTTCGTCTTTGCAGATTTTTACCTGAGCCGAGCGAAGTGTCTTGCGGATGATCGTACGCTGTACACCAGTACCTGAAAATCCTTCGCGTCAGCTATGTTTGCCGCACGTACAAGTCAAATCAACGTTGTGGGCGGCAACAACACTCTGCTGTACGGTCGTGTAGTGGACGTGGCGGACAACGGTCTCTACATCGATCTGCTGTGCCGCGACACTCGTCCCGAATTCATTCCTTTCGACAGAATCTTCCTATCGAAAAGCAGTACACTGGTAACAGAATATCGTCGCACGGCGGAGCCTTGGAACTGGAAAACGGTTTCAGTGGAAGTGCTGCGCCGTGAATATCCCGGCGGTGTGTGGCGTTGGTGGCCCGGGAAAATTATTAATCGACTACTGTCAGCCTCGTCATTTTGGCCGATGCATTACAGCGCGGCCATCGTTCAGGGACAGGAAGACAATGGCGCCACCTGGACGGACCTCGTCCCCCAGCACCGCATCCGCTTCTGCGTGCCGGAATACTGGGTGACGGAGCAAACAAAGGACCAACGGCAGGTTCCGCATGTGACGCTGCCAGTGCGCATCCCTCCGGGAAGCTTTGTGAAGCGCAGTATGCCACTGCCCGCTGATTGTCGTGGTACATCAGCAGTACAGCTACTGCGGGTGAGGAACGAGGCGAAGATCCACCGGCAGAATGTTCTGGCCTTGTTAGGTAAATCTGCCGGCCAGGTGGTTTGCGTCGACATCGTGGACGGGCATGTGCAGTATATCGTGGAACTATACGATAGTGACACTCTTCCGCAGCCTGAAGACCCGGCACAGGTTTGTCAATATTTTAATAAATCCGATGAACCTTAGTGTCATCATGTCATCGGAAAATAGTGTCATCATGTTTGTCGTCCGCTTGCTGATCTACTGCTATGATTGCTTTATTTGTTCCTAGAAAATCGTTCAGCTGATGCACACCGCGCTGATTGAACGCCTTCCGGACATCCTCCGCGAGGCGGCGGGCTCGGTTGAACGGGGGATGATAGATGGATTTCCGGCACTGAGAGCGGATGTGTGGCAGGAAGTGTTCGCCCCCCTGGACACGATGACGCGGACCATGCTGCGCGCGGTGTGTTCGGCTTGGGATGCTATTCTGGATACACCTGCTCTGGCGGCTGATATTGTCATCGAGATAAGCACGGCCGGCGAACACCTGCGTCGTTTCTACTATGGAGGATACACCTTAACGGCGCCCATCTTCCGGTGCCTGCGTCCCTCTACCAAGCACGTTATCTTACATAACCGGGGCCCCAAGAGCGACATCAGTTTAGATGACACCCTTGCCGTTTTAAACGTGATTTGCTACATGGCGCGGGCCCATCCCGGAATCCATCTGACTGCATTTTATATCGTTGGCGTTAAAAACTTGTACGCGGACCTCGGCTATTATCTCGTTGAACCCTCGGGGCCACACAGCTGTCCAGTGCATGACATGAACGACTTTGACGGAAATGGGGTGCCGCAGTTTAATTCGGGTCACTTGAACCATTTCATCGCATCGTGCCGGGATTTGGGGTGCGACGCCATCCATCTGGTCCGATGCAGAATGTGGCTGCACTACGACATGCTGGACATATTCGACAAGCTCATTCAGTTTGACTTCGACATGCCCCTGACGCGGCTGCTGCTGAGCGGGGATGTCACGTCGAAGGTCTGGGATGCGCTGGAGGCGGCGATGCTGGCGCTCAGCAGCGAAGAGATGGGAGCGATGTCGGATTGGTTGGCCGCAATCACGACGGATAACAACCAATCGTTTCAGCGCATGGCAGTCTGCCAGGTAAGGTCAAGTTTTGAGGGCTATTAGCCGAAGCTTCTCACAGTCAATATGGTCTCGTATTTGTGACGTCACTCTATAACCGTATAAGCGATTGTTTTCAGGTCTTGTGCACGATGCAGATCGCGGATCCGCGTCCGTCCTCGCACTACCGCGGGAAAAAGTGGTGCAGGGACGGCTTGCAGGATCTGCGCTGGGAGAAGCTGTCTCGCATTACGCTGCGCTTCCTTCTCATGCTGCCCGATTTCTTGCGTGACTACCTTGCTAAATCTACGGTGCCACCGGACCCGGAGTAACAAGCGGCGGGTTTCACCCAACATCCGTCTCCTCTTGCTGTTGTAATGCACTGCTATTACTTTTTTTTGACTTTAGTTTGTTAGAGGGTTTATTATTTTTCGTGCTGGCGTTTTTGTTTGGCGGCTGTTTCCTGTTTGCTTCTGCTCCTGCTCTTTATGAGATTCCGTTGTGAAATGGTACCGGATCGGCGCAATGTCCACGCTTTATGGTGATTTCTTCAGTTTGAAGTTCAAGCTGCACACGACCATTTGATAAAACCATAGTTATGATCGAATAGAATTCAGTTCGTCGCATTGTTCTTTCTGCCATGAATGCTGTAGCGGCTGCTTTATGCAATTCAGTCCTTGGAACTGTTTCTTCGCATGCGAGCTAAGTACTCTGTAGAACAATTTTTTTCATTTTAATGATGTCGATCTGGGCGCGGCGCAGCCATTAAACTTATCGAATAAAGTTTCACGAATGTTATGGTTAGACTTATTAGAAAAGCATATCGAGGATAGCACAAATCCTCATCCCCATTGCGCTACGATAGCATCTAATTAGAAACAGAATTATCGCTGCTAAAGCGAGAACTTAAAATCAAGACACTGACAGAACCACAAAAACGCCAATGCCCATAAAAATTATAAACAGTGCGAGTAATTATAGTAAGAAATGTGTATCAGGATAAAACCTATCCTGGGGACAGGCAATTGCGAAGGAAATCGGGCAGGATTAAAAGAAAACGCTGCGCAATGCGGGACAATTCCTCCAAGCGCAGATCCTGCAGTCCCTCCGCGCACCATTTCTTTTCCCGATAGTGCAAAGACGTCCGTGGATCAGCGGTCTGCGTCGTGCATAACACCTACCAAACAAAGGAATGCTCTTGAGTGAAAATAATCGGCACCATCACGCCAGTGCCAGTGCCAAACAGTTACTGGACTATATTTTTACGCTTATTTAATTACTCGTATTTTGATCCTCTCCCTAATTTATTATTATTTATCATCATATTTATCTGAAATATTTTGATTAACATTTTATGTTGACTAGGTAAGAAAATCCAATAAGTACTCTGTGCTACTCTTACATTGCCGACGGCCTTGCGATGCAGCTCGTAGCCCTCCTCTGTCGTGATCATCGTCAGCCATTTCGACAGTGCCTCCATATCCTTCACGCCGGTCACCGACAGCGCCCCCTCCAACGCAGCCCACACTGAGGACGCCGGATCTCCGCTCAGCGGCAGACGCGTCCTGTTCATGATGATGTACAGCTTCATGACCTCGTCCCACTTTTGCCGCAGGTTGTACTCCAGGAGCCACGTGCAGCGGACCTAATGCAAGGTATCACACGGCAGACCGCGGCATGCCGCGATGAAATCATCCAAGTTACCAGCGGTACGGTCCTGCGGTATTTCAGCAGTATGCACCCCACAGCGCTCATGCCAGATCGATCCGGAGAAAAGGCTCTGTTCATGACCCAGTTCCGAGTGCAGATCTGTGACGTCCACCACATACAGCGCCGTCAGATGGATCCCGGGGTGAATCCGCGCCTTGTAATGGATCATATCCAACAACACAAAAAACTCGGGTAAACCGATGCTTCCCTGCTCTCGATCATGCACCATAACGCGCTTAGTGGAAGGACGCAGACATTTGAAGATGGGCGCCGTTAAGGTATAGTCGATGTTTCGGCGCTCAGCGTTCGTCTCGATCAGAATGTTAGCCGTCAAAGCCGGCGCACCAAGGATTGCGGTCCATATTGGACACACCGCGCGCAGCGAGGTCTGCGTCATCGTGTCCAGATGGGCGAACACCTGCTGCCACTCATCGACGCCCAGTGCAAGGGATTCATCCATCGGCTCACGTTCTGCAGGAGGCCTCATCCCACGCCCGAGAGATCCTGGATCAGCGCCTTGTGCAACGGCCGAAGAATTTCCTATTACAATCACAACAACTCGGTAAACTGCCTACAAGACGCGAACTAGTGGTTATTTTCCTCTTAAACTGTTCTCGCAAACGTGACATGGCTAATCCAAATCAACCAGAACAGTAGTACTTATATCTGTCACAACAACAACAGCTGTCACGACAACAGAATAGATAGCGGATTTTCTAAGCCCAGTCAAGCTGGCTGACATAACAGTCAACCGTGGACGGTATCATTATCCCACAGCCCCATTCTAGGTCCCCATAACAATCCACCGCGGTTGGTTGCAGCGTGTGATGGACACACGCAATGTTGGGTAATACATAGATCGGCATGAGATCGTTAAATCCGCTACCACTGTCGATTGCACGCCTTCCTGTGCGTAGAATGGGACATGATGCTGAGTAGTGCGACAGCGGTTTTCCTGTCACGGATAGAAAAACTGACGTACCTGTGCTGCATCTTTGATCTGTGAGTACCCGACGCCCTCCTCCAACGCTACAATATACTGCAGCTGCCCCTCCGCCACATCGACGCAGTTCACACGACCGTTGAAAACTTGCAGCTCCGCCATAACCATCTCCAGCTGTGCTGCGGTTGCACCACGACAGTCAGCGGGCAACGGCATACTGCACTTCACAAAGCGTCCCGCTGCAATACGCTGGAGTAGCGTTTCGTTCACGACCTTCGGTCGCTTCCGTGGCTGCTCCGACCACCAGTAGCGCGGCACGGGCAAACGGATGCGCGGCCGGGGAAAAATATCGGCCATGGTGGCGCCACTGCCATCCTGCCACCAGACCACGGCCGCAGTGCAGAAGTTCCAGTGCATACGCCAAAACCCTGGCCCCGGCACCTGCGGGGATACCATCTTCCCGGGCCACCAACGCCACGTTCCGCCGGCAGAGTCTCGCCGCAGAACCTCCACCGGAACCGCATCGTATGGCTCTTCCTTTGAGATCTCGTTATATTTCCATTCCTGCCGTCGCTTGGTTAGGAAGACCTTGTGGAAGGGAACGAGTTCGCGTCGACGATCAGGGCACAACAGATCGACGTAGAGCCCCTTGTCCGCCACGTCCACCACGCGGCCGTACAGAAGGGTGTTGTTGTCGGCCACAACGTTGATGTAATGGGTCCGTTTAGCAAACATGACTGCTGATGGATTTCTGAGTGCAATCGAGCTGAATCGGTAGAGACTTCGAAATCACGGAGCCGAATGAAAAACACCTGGTCAAAGAGTTTGGGCCTGGATGTCACAGTGAAAGTCAACTCGAGCCTCGAGGGTATGAAGTCTTCAACGGGCCTTTCGAAACAGTATGTCACCGTGTGTGGGATGATAGCAACAGAATCGAAAGAATACAAAACGTGCAAGTGTACGCACTGAGTACTGACGGATGTAAGCTCCGTCTTCTTTCAGTGAATCGGCTGTGACTGTTGATCTGCATTCTGCAGACTGTGCGATCATGCGACATGCGTGATTCAACATGAATCCAGCGCCCGAGCATACAGAACGCTGCAAAGCGAGGGCGGTTGCCAGAAATACTAGGGCTTACATGTGCGTGACCGCCCTAACCCTGACACTTTACAGTAAGTACCTTTGATTGGCGTAATTCGAATTATGAAAAAGAATTCGTAAGTATACGATTTGTAAATAAGTTTAGGGAAATAATGTAAGTAAACAAATAAAGAATTGGTAAGAAAATAAATTTTCCATCAGCAGTAAATCGCACTTGTAAGTTAAACAATAATCTGTGACGAGGAACAGTAAAACTGATTAAAAAGAAGGCAGAAGAAAACGGCGGTTTCACTTCCTGACCAGAGTCGTTACGGAAGCGAAAAAATGAACTACAACAAGAGATGGGGATTTGAAAAAATCCGCCACTTTTTACTGCGAAACCGATGGCATTAAACTTTTAGCAAGGTAGTCTCACGGAAAGTCGGCCAGGAAGAGAAGGAAGCGCAGCGCAATGCAAGACATCTCCTCCCAGCGCAGATCCTGCAGTCCCTCCGTGCACCATTTTTTACCGCGGTAGGCCAAGAACGGACGCGGATTCGCGGTCTGCGCCACGCACTACACCTAGAAAAACAAACAGGGTCAACCAGAAATGGATAAGCAGATTTACTGCAAAGTGCAAGCAAATGGCGTCCTGTTATTTTGTCCACCATTCATTTTGTCCACCATTCATTTTGTCCACTGTTCAGTTTGTCCACCGTTCATTTTGTCCACCAATCATTTTGTCCACCATTCATTTTGTCTACGCTTTTTATATTTAATAATAAATAAATACAATATTACCACTTAGTGACACTTACCAAAATTAATTTAATATTAGTTAAAATAAAACACACAATAGAAACCGTTTGCTTATTAACCCGCTGAATTTCGAATATACAGCTGCGCAGAACTAGTCATAGCAGCAGTATTACGTAGAAATTACCGCACTCGATATTGTAGCAGCAACGGTGCAGAATTTCAATTTTGCAATAAAAGATTGTAATATCTGCCATATAAACTGAAATCATAGATATGAATGTGTGTACACGTTCTCATAGTACGTGATACTTATCGGTTTACTATGCGAGGTTACTAAATTCATACATACTAGCTTTGTCTTATAAAAAAATAAGAACACCGTACTTTTGGAATTGTATCGTGAAGGAAGTGTACGGTGGACAAAATGAATGGTGGACAGAATGATTGGTGGAAAAAATCAACGGTGGACAAAATGAATAGACACGAAGCAAATATCTGTAGACTGCATGTAGCAACCTATCAGTTATATATTAAGAAATCGTTTCTTTAACACTTTACCTTGCAGACTGCCATGCGTTGAGCCCATTTACTGTTATCCGTCGCGATTACGGTCAACCAGTCGGACAGTGTCTGCATTTCCTCGTCGCCGGGCGACGACAACGCCGCCTCCAACGCATCCCACACCGTGAACGCGAACTATCCGCTCAGCGACAGATGCGTCCTCGGCAAGCCGACATTGAACCACATAAGCGACTCAAAGCTATCTAGCATGTCGTACCGCTCCACATCCTGCATCGAACCAGATGAATGGCATCGCACGGCAAACCGCGGCACGATCCGATGAAATGGTTTATTCTAGACATGCCGAAATGCGGCATCCAAATTGCATCCAAATCGTCGGGATTATGCTCCTCACAGGAATTCGTGAGATACACAATAAAACAGCCCCGATCCGCGAACAAATCCCTGGCGTTTACGATGTATATTGCCGTCAGGTGGATTCCCTGATGAACCTGCGCCGCGTAGTTGATCATGTTTAACGCGACAAAAAAGTCCCCCAAATCCATGCGATACTTTCCGCCATGCAGGATAACGCGTCTAGTGGAGGGGCGTAGAAATTAGAAGATGGGCGAGGCTAGGGCGTAGCCATTGTAACCGAAATAAGGTACATGCCATCTGGCCCGGCACTGCCAGAATGGGCTCTGAGAATTCTGAATCCGCTGCAGTATCTATTCTGTTGTCGTGACAGCTGTTGTTGCTGTGACAGATAGAAGTACTCCTGTTTGGGCTTCCTTTAAACATGTTTACGTTTGCGAGAGCACCTTACGAGCAAAATACCCACTAGTTCGCGTGTTGAAGGCAGTTTATCGAGTTGTTGTGATTGTAATAGGCAATTCTTCGACCGTTGCACAAGGCGCTGATCCAGGATCTCTCGGGCATCCTGCGTGGGATGAGGGTTCCTGTAGAACCAGAGCCGATGGATGAATCCCTTGCACTGGTCCGGATGATTAGTCCAAGCCGGTCCGGATGATTAGCACGAAAGAAAACGGCAAAGAATATAGTACATTCATTGGCTACGGAGCCTACGCCAACGGCCAAACTACATTCTAGGGCGCGCCACGCCACAGTTTACGGGTTACATACTTCTGGTCTTGCTGGGGCACGTACTAACGAATTACTACTACCGTAGTTAACTGCCTGGTGGATGTCGGTTTGTGCGATCTAACTGTGTAGCACAGTTTTCCATTGCAGCAATTGTAGTTTATGGGCCAACGTTCTGAGCGCTAAAAGTGGCGCTTAGTTTGCAGTATGCATTACAAGTACCTGTATCATTGCGTGTTGAATATTCAGACCGGCTTGTATTGCTGATGTCCCGCAACAATCAGCGGCATCGCCATAATGCGCTTCACAAAGCGCCCCGGTGAAATTTGCAGGGGATTTGTTGAGAACCGTGTTTCAGGATCACGCTCGCCTACCGGATAGCGAAGGCGGTGCTTGGGAAAGATATTCTTTCCGCTGTCGTACTGCCCCTGGACGGCGGCCACAGGGGGACACCATCGCCAAGATGACGGGTCCGGATTCCGATTAATAATTTTCCGATTTCCGATTATTATTTTTTCGGGCACCAGCGCCAAACGCTGCCGGGATGCTCACGGCGCAACAGTTCCATGAACCCGTCTCCCATGGTTCTCCCATCGGGATATTATACTCCTGTTCTGCGGATTTGATGTTCTTGGAGAGCAAGAGATGGTGGAAAGTAACAGGTTCGCGTCGACGTTCGGGGAACAGCAGATCGATGTAGAGCATGTAGAGCCCGTTATCGGCCACGCCCACCACGCGTCCGTACAATACAACAGGACGTTGCTATCGCCCACAACGATGATGTGGTTGGTTCGGGCCACAAACATGGCGGCTGATGGAGTTCCGGGTACAGTCCAGTCTAATGAATGACAAGAATGCAGAGTTAAGGGCACTCTGCAAGCTGAACACTGCAGTGATAAAAGCAACTAAACGCTATAGGTCCTGCTTGCCAGTAGAAAGTTTGATAAGCACTTTTTGCGCTTTGCGGACACCACAACAAAACCGATTTACAATAACCCAGGAAGTCAGACCGCTCGCTGCAGAGGGAAAAATTGTACAAACTAGCA